AGTTTTACAACCCTTCCTTGCTCCTGAAAATTATACAAAAAGGGAATCTGACTTCCTGATCCCTTTAGTCCTATCTAAATAACAGCACATCTTCTAACATCCAACATGTGAAATTTCCTTTCCTGGTCATACGAGGGGTTAGAACAAAATGAAGGCAAAATAATTTCTTGGCCTCGATGAAATCTCAAGGCTATTTTGGGTAAAAAGGCCAGGTCCGTCATAAACATTACCCTATCCGCAAAAATCTGGAGGAAAGAGGCTCAAATTGATAGGGCTTCCAACTCACTCTCCTCGCTGTAGTGACTGCTACCAGGAATATTGTCTTGAGGGTCAGGATTTTGAGGGTACTTGAACCCAGAGGTTCAAACGGGGGGGGGGGGGGGGGGGGCTGTCAGAACATTAAGCACTGTTGTCAGGTTCCACTTTGGAAACAGACTCTTACTGGTTTTTGTCTGGTCAAGGACTTAAAGAATACAGCCACCAGCTCCTCCCTGGCTAAGGGAGACTCCAGGAATACGATATGAGCTGACACCTGGTCTTTTAGCGTACTCACCGCTAGCCCCTTGTTGGCCACCACCTGCAGGAATTCCAGGACGGAAACTAAGCTATGAGCCTCCGAGGAAGTCTGAGCACACCATCTGTTAAAGAGCTTCCAGACCTTAAGGTACATAGAATGGGTCTCCTCTTTTCTACTGTTTAGGATGGTAGATACTACCCTAGCTGAAAAACCACTTGCTCCTCAGCAGCTGTTCCTCAGAAACCAGGCCACTAGGTTCCATCTGTCTACCTGGGGACAAAGGACCAGACCCTGAGAAAGCAAGTCCTCTCGGCACAGCAATATCCAGGGCGGGCCACCAGGGTCGAAAACCAAGCCCTTCTGGGCTATCAGGATCAGGGAAGTCTGCTCAGATCCGAATTTCCTCAGAACTGCTGGCAATAAGGAGACTGGGGGAAAGGGCGTAACACAGGGAAGTCCCAATGCTGGGCTAGTGCATCTACTGCCAATGCCCTGTCCCAACGGATTAGGGAGAAAAAAAAAAAAAACGGGACTTTGGTATTCTGGCCAGACGCAAAAAAAGGTCTATGGATGGAGACCCTCACTCACCTATGATGGCTTGGTAGATCTCCTAATTGAGCACCCATTCTGATTCCTTCAGCTGCCTCCTGCTGAGAAAATTGCCACTAGTTTCAAATCCCCCTTCAGGTGGACAGCTGATAAGGGGGCTGCAATGGCTTTGGGCCAGGTGAGCAGTTCCGAAGCCAAGGACCACAGAGTCTTGCTTTGAGTCCTTCCCTGTCTGTTGACATACGCCACGACAGAGGAGTTGTCCGAGAGGACCAGCACGTGTTGTCCACGTAACTGCTCCCGGCAGGCCACAAGGGCCAACAATACCACTTTGAGTTCTTTCCAGTTCGAGGATCTTTTCCTCTCTTCTGGTAGCCAAGAACCCTGTGCCATGGACCCCTCTAAGTGTGCTCCCCAGCCTCTGGCGCTTGCATCTGTTGCAACCTCCCTGGAGATGGGTAAGACCCATAACAGCCCCTGAGCCAAATTGGCTGACCTCCTCCACCACCACAGGGTCCTCTTCATCCAGGGGGGTACCTGTACCAAGAATTTGAAAGACTCCTGCCGGCGATCCCAGATGTCCCAAATTAACAGCTGGAGGGGCCGCAGATGTAAACCTGCCCACTGTACTGCCAGGATGACAAGGTTAGCAGGCCCAACACTGACATGGACTCTTAGAGACACGGCCTGGTTCCCGAGCAGCTGCCTTATTCACCTGTCCAACTTTAGGATTTTCTCCTAGGGTAGAAAGGTTTTCTGAAGGGTGGAATCCAGTTCGTAGCACAGGTACACCATCCTTTGGGCCGGGACCAAGTTTATTAGCCAGCCTAAACCCTCCAAGTGTCTCATCACCAAGGTTATGTCCCACGACAGCTGTTTCTCTGAGTCTGCTAACAAAAGGAGATCGTCCAGGTAAGCCACCAGCGAGTCTCCCCTTAGACGAAGAGACATCAGGGCCTTGGCCATGATCTTTGTGAAAATCCTGGGTGAGGAAGAAAGCCCAAAGGGCAAGACTCCGAACTGCAGGTTAAGGACTCCCCTGGGACTCCGTACCACCAACCAGAAGAAATTCTGAAAGCATCCACAATTGGAACATGTGGGTAAGCGTCCCTTAGGTCTATTGAGGCCAGAAAGCAATTGGGGGGAAGAAGAGACCTGACCGAGAAAATGGAATCCATACGGAATCTCTTGTATTTTATGGTCTCGTACAAGGGCCTGAGGTTCAGAAGGAGCCTGTACTAACCTGAGAGCTTTCTGACCACAAAGATGTGAGAATAGAAACCCCTGCCGATCTCTGTGGAGGGGACTCTGATGACGACCTTCTGCTCTTCCAACTCCTGCAGAGAAAAGAGCAGGACCGAGGCCTTCTCTGCACATCTGGGAAGCTCCGTCAATAACAACCTCTGTGGTGGCGGTGTCTAAAATTCCAGGTGGTACCAGCTTTTCACTATACCCAGCATAAAAGGGACTGGAGGACATCACTTCTGACTGTGGGAGGAAGACCCCACCAGGGGAAACCAGTCATTGTGATTTTTGGGGCTGCTCAGGACGGAAAATCGCTCCTCCCCTGCCCCTTTCCTTTTGTGTACCTCTGGCCTGACAGCTTGTACCCGCTTCTGGGGACGAAATTCCCCCCTCACCTGGAGCTTCTTCTTAAGGAGAAAGGCTATATTCCTGTTTGCGGTGCAATCCAGCACCGTCTCAAGACCCGGGCCAAAAAGAAAATCTCCTGTGAACGGGATGCCACAAATTTTAACCTTGGAGGCGATGTCCCCTGCCATGTCTTGAGCCCCAGGGCTCTGCAGGCAGTTAGTTAGGGCCGCTGGCCTCGCCATCATCCTTCCTGAACTCCACAGGTGTCCGCAATATAGCCCACCCCCTGTAGTAATGTCCGGAAGGAGGATAATATCTTGTCCTTCGGGGACCCTGCCACAATATGGGCCTGTAGCTGTGTAAGCCAGTATTCCATGTTCTGAGCCACCACTGTAGTGGCCATGGCAGGCTTTAGGTTAGAAAGTGTGGAATCCCAGGACTTCTTAAGAAGGGAATCCACCCTTCTATCCATTGTGGCAGACAAGACCCCCATGTCCTCAAAGGCCAGATCCATTTTTCATGCTACCTGAGAAAAAGCTGCGTCCAGCTTTGGGCTTTTATTCCACACTGCAGACAAATCTTTGTCAAACGCGAACCTACGTTTGAGAGAGTTGGCATAGAAAGGCTGTCTCTCTGGATCCTGCCACTCCCTCTTTATGGTCTCTACTAGCACTTCGTGGACAGGGAAGACTATGCTTTTGTTCCTCCATACCCTGATACATCTGATCATGCAACGTCAGGGACTTCTCATCTTCCTTTATTCTCCAAGGTAGCATAAATAGCTCCCAGTAAGTCATCAACCTCCAGAAGAAGATGAAAGAAAGAGTGCACAAACCTTACGCATTACCTCAATAAATAGTGACTAATTTTATTATTAAGGAAATATACTCACAAAGTGATGGTATAACAGGCATAAGTAACCATAATCCAAACAGGGTTACAGGTAAATCCAAAAGGGGGGGGGGGGGGGGATGAAGGCTAACGCGTTTCGAAGGGTGCTCCCTTCTTCATCAGAGCTGGGTTGAGCAGATAGAGACTTCAGTATGGCAGAGTTCCCATGGCAAGGAGATATTCAGCCACTAAGTGTCAGTATTACAGCGGTTCAGCCTGTTTTCAACCTCCTCAAGGGACAACTTGTATCTAGGAGGCGCCTCTAAATGCGCTCGAGGGATCCTCACCTTCAGAGTCTGCCTGGGAATCTGAGTCCAGGGATGGGTCCTCCTCCATTAACTCGGCTCTTGGACCTCCTGCTTCACTACTGATCACCGGGAAAACCTTGATCTGTTGGAGGGGGGGAAGGTGGGTGAGGAGTGCGGACTGTGTCTGAGGCAGAGATAAATTCTTGACCAGAGACTTAAAGGAATCAAAAAGGTAGCAGTCAGTTCCCTAACTAACTTAACCAGGTCCCCGAGAAAGGTATTAAGAGATAAAGATGTACCACTTTAATATTTTAGGCAGGGTAGCCTGTTAATAAGCTCAAAGATCGCACCTGTTTAAAGGTGTGGGTGTAAACCACAGCATTTGTAACAAAAGTAGTAGTAGTTGCCAAGAGTCAACTACCGAAGTAGGTAATAAACACCCAAGCAATGTAGCTTATATGTAAAATCACATTTTTATTATTCCCTTTGGGAATTCTACAAATGGACATACTCATTTCTTTTTTCAACTTGCATTTTTTTTTTGCAGTTCTCAACATTTATGATCATGCATATATAGCTATATACTTGGCTAATTTTTTGTGTCACTGCTATCATTGAATATGCAGGATTTATAAGTGTATAACACAAATCCTTGTGATACACGGCTGAATTTTTTGTCTATTTTTGCTAATATACTGCTGTATATCTCAACCAGTCAAAGTGAATACCACTAGAAATACTAAATGTTGCAATCTGGATTGCTTGTCTTGTTTTTAAAGTGTATTCAGTGATTGTATGTCTCACCATCCACGGATATTACCTTTTCTCCCAATGGGAATAATAAAAATATGTGATTTTACATATAAGCTACATTGCTTGGGTGTTTATTACCTACTTCGGTAGTTGACTCATTCCCCGAGAAGGGACCTCCTCCCTGATCAGGCCCTCAACACAAGACTCACACAGCACCTTTGTCCAGGAGTCTGAGGGTCACCTTGCATGAAGGGCACCTTTTTAACCCTATGGTTTGGCTTGGGCTTCTCCCTGGCTTTCACCTGCAACAGAGCACACAGAAGCCTCTCCCCACTGGCAGGACATGGGAGTTTTCTAGCCGGGACCCCTTCCCCCCTGCTCTAGTCCCTCCGACCACCAGGAGCTAGGGGCGAAACAGATAGGGGTATAAGCTCCTCTGAGCCACCTACCTGAGGCTGGTTGGTGCTGGTGTCACCTGGTCCCAGCGCCTCTGTTCCAGACATGTTCCAAGGTGGTGGTCCGCCCTGAGGTCCTGCATCTGCAGGATTCAGCTCTCGGTGCCGCCACGCTCCTGTCCACGATTCAAGGGATGGGGCTGGAAGCCAGGAGGAAGTCCCACCCCTCCACCAGAAGTGATATCCCCCGTCATCCGGCCTGGCCAGGCACATTGATGGGTGGCAGTGCTTCTCCCTCGGTCCCCCTTGGACACTAAAAGGCAAACACACACGGCCCCCAAACCTCCACCGGTGGCTGGAGGATTGCAGGTAAGGGACACACCCCCTCCATGGTGGTCACCAGACAGACAACATCCGGTCCCACCCCCCCCCCCTATTCCAGGCATAGCGCGGTCTTCTGATTGCTCTGGAAGGGCTTTCGAGACAGTGTCTCCCCACTGGAGGAAACACCATTACTGAGGTCGGTGTGGGGAGGCCGGACTTTTATTCTGGACGGAGGCGTTTCCTCAGGTGGGGAGGAGCCGAGGCTCTTAAGGTGCTGTCCTGAAAGATGGGGAGGGAAAATTCATTCTATATATATATATATATATATATATATATATATATATATATATATACACACACATACATATACACACACATACGCACACCCTTTAGGGCCCATTCACTGTCCTGGACAGCAGTTGAGTATGCAGCAGCTGTCTGTTTTGGCTTCAGTGAGCTGGCAATAGGTAGGGAGTGGTGTGATGCATGTTTCAGTGCATCACACCATTTCCTTTTGCATCCACATTATTTTATAAGTGTACAAAGTGACACTTCATTCATGTCTCTATACAGCTGCACTGGCCTAATGTGACATGCTATCCTGTTCTATACACTGCAATAAAAAGCAGCATGCCTGTATTCTATTGCAGCTCACTGCACTGCAGTGTAAATAGGAGACTAGCAGTGACCTGTGTTCATCCAATGCAGTAAAACATAGGTTACCGCACTACGCGTGAACAGGGTTCTTAGAGCCTATCCAGCCATTGTGGTGTGTTACATCACACATTAACACGTTGCATTAAGGCACCTTATTCTGAATGGGCTGTTATAATTCACCCTAATGGACCTAAAAGTGAACCTGTCTTATTTCCTCCCCACTTCCTGAAATAGGAGATATACCATTAAGCATTAATGCAAGAGGTGCTGTTTATACTACACAGCATGTAAAGTCTGGTGTAGTGTTTAAGGAATTTGATCATGAAAGAAACATGGAGGTTGTTATAGCTGAGAACATCCCTTGAAAATGCTAGTTGACTCATTTTAAAACGTATTCAATGCCATGCAGAGGACGACTGACTTTGTTTCAGAGGATACTAAAAAGGCAGTGGGTCACCATAACATATAGGTTACTAGCAATTTAAACATGTAGCCTAAAATAGTAGCCCCAATTTGGTGGTCCAGATATTACTAGAAGAAACCACAGAGAAAGAAAAATGTGGAGACAAAGTGTTCAGTGTGGCTTGCAGTGAATAATGTGAACCCATTTACATCCCTCAGGGTAAATACCCACTCTTACTGACAGGATACAAAGTGCAAGAAGATATAAAACACACTCTACTGGACCAGAATTAAGTTTAAATCACACTTCTGAAAACAGGCAGTACATGCTCTGCTTAGTCCTACAATGCACCCCCCTTATTATTAGTTATTCTCCAAAGTCTATGCAATTATTTAAAATGTTATTAGTATTTTTAAAATATGAATGGTTAAGACAAGTCTAGCTGAAAGCCCATATGAACGATATACAGTAACAAATGTGTTACTGAATGTGAACCAAATATGTCTTTTTTTTTTAAATCTAAGTGCTGCAGCAAGGGTTAACACCCCCCCCCCCCCAAAAAAAAACAAAACAAAACAAATTGTCTCAATCTCAAGAAGCATTTCAGTTTTCCAACACGCTTCACTTAACAATGTCTAATCAACAGTGCTGCTTAGGTAACAAGTGCAATACTGATTAAGGGCCCATTCACACTAGAAATCGCACAGGAACACTATGCACATTCTAGTGCGATTCACATGCAATTTTGTGCAGTGATATTATAGCCCATACTTGTGACCATGCAATCTGATGCAAGTTTCCTGTAGAGCATTCTAGTGTGAATGGGCCCCTAAAGCAGTGCCGAGTCGGGCATGTCAGACTGCAGGATACTTGGGTGTGTGAGAGCCTTGATCTGACTTTTTCTATGTGCTTGCCACACAAGGTTTCTTTTTAACTCTTACTACAACACTATATATATATATATATATATATATATATATATATATATATATATATATATATATAGCATATATATATATATATATATATATATATATATATATATATATATATATATATATATATATATATAAGCCATATTACTGGGATGTTGAATGCCTATTGCCCGAAGCCCAGGACATGCAGTTCCAAGCAGCAGGGTTTAGAACCAACAGTCGGCTCTATTGTATATGCGATCCAAGCGGAACCCCCCTCCCACTTGGCGGAGGTACACTCCGGTTCAAATAAATTATTGGTATTCAGTCCCAACGTGAATTTTTAGTGCAATGGTGCTGTACCTTTTAATATGGTATTTATGGCCGATAATCCTTCACCCTCTTAACCTCCCTAGCGGTCTGATTATGTCAATATTTCTGTGCTCAAAGCGGTACATTTTTTTTGCATGGAAATATGTATTTTTGTTATTGTAGGCCTGTAATTTTTAGGAATAACTCACTGAAATCTGTCCGAACAAGAGTCTAGTAAACATCCCGGGTATGATAAAATTTGAAACACGAAATCATAAATTATAATAATATTCATAAAAAATTATATAATAAAATTCAATAATGTAATCAAACAAAAAACACTGAAATTTGAAATATAGCGCCAAGTTCGCACATCACTGAGCTTAGTCGCAAAATAGTTTAAAGTGTCCGATGACGAATTTCCCTACGAATCATCACTCAATTCTGCAAGTGGTTCTAATTTACTATCGCTGTTCTCTAGCTGGTCTAAAACCGATTTTGACCTAAAAGGGGCGCTTTTTGGACGCCATGGACATTTGTCAGTTTCCAGGCAGAAAGAACAGTAAAAATGCAGGCAGGGCACAGGACAAAGCACTCGGGACAAAATGTATGTGAAATGCTTTGATACAGTAATGTTATACTATGTGATTTTAGTGAACGTCACTTTTAAAAATTTTTGAATTTCCCGCCGGTTCTGTCCCGACGCTCGCAGGGAACGGAACCCGAAAGACATGGCCGAGGACGCTGCAGGGAGGACATCATGGGAGCGCAGGACAAGGTAAGTGAAGAAGAGATCCCAGAGCAATGCTGCAGGGTAATCCCGAGTGTAGCTCGGGGGTTACCGCTTTTGGTATTGAAAGTTTACCCTGAGCTACACTCGGGAATACTGCCAGGGAGGTTAACCGTGGTTGCTGGTGGTAACTGATAACCCTCCACTAGGACTGCATCCATATTCGAAAGCTCCTCCACAAGAAGATCTATTGGTCGAAATGAGTCGAGGGCTTATGACGCAACTTCTGCCAATGTCACTTCCGGTATGTGGAACGCGGCGGCCATCTTAACTCCCATTCATAATTAACAAAGCTGAATAGACCCAGTGCCAGGAAAGGCACTTTTTTTGTTAGTGGCATTTTTATTGTTTGACCCCATTATTAAAGTTCCATATGGTTTTACGCTATGTGATGTCTGGTTTTGTTTTAATTTATGCTGAAAATATGAATTACTGCCTGTGGAGGAGAGGACCTTTCTAATATTGATGCAGTCCTAGTGGAGGGTTATCGGTTACCACCAGCAACCACGGTTAAGAGGGTGAAGGATTATTGGCCATCAATACCATATTGCACACTGGGATAGTCCCAAAAGCGTGTTTGACTTATCTAGAGATAGGTGGTCATGAGATGACGGTTAGTTTACATCTATGTGGGACACCAGTGTGAACACAGTGAAGCACTTGTCACTTCAGTACAGAGGTTCACCGTTAAAGATACAGCACCATTGCACTAAAAATTCACATGTTGAGGCTGAATACCAATAATTAAAATTTTGTTCATTGTTATCACTTTAATTTGTACACTGGATTTAGTTGATTTTATGACCTTAGTGAGGTCCATTTGAAATCTTTATCTCCATAAAGCGTACCTATCATTGCCTATTGCTGTCACAAGGGATGTTTACATTCCTTGTGGCAGCAATAAAAGCAATCTAAAAATTAAAGCGACAGTGTAAAAATAAATAATAAAAAAAAAAAATGTTAAAGCACCCATGTCCCCTCATGCTCGCAGGCAAAAACGAATGCATGCGTCAATCCCGCATGCATGCAAACAGCAATTGTCACACACACACACACACGAGGTATCACCGTGCACGTCAGATTGTGGGAAGTAATTCTAGCACCAGACCTCCTGTGTAAATCTAAAGTGGTAACCTGTAAAAGCTATTAAAGTGTCACCTATGGATAGTAACAGTTACGCTGTTTGTTGCCATTGCATGGGTGTGTGCAATTTTAAAGCATGACGTTTGGTATCTATTTACTTGGCATAACATCTTTTATTTTTACCAAAAAATTGGGTGATGTATTGTGTTTCTTTGCATTAAAATTCCAAAATGTGTATTATATATAAAAAATAAAAAAAAATTTTGAAAATCCACTGTGCAATACCGTATGACATAAAATAATTGCAAAACCCACAAATTCTTTAGGTCCTCTGCTTTAAAAAAAAAAAAAAAAAAAAAAAAATGTTTAGGAGTTCTAAGAAATTTTCTAGCAAAAAATAAAAAACATTACAAGTTTAGGTCGCCATACAGCCACTTTCGTTTTAAAAGCCCTAGACATTCCTAAAAACACCTCTGCCTAAAAAAAAAACATCAATCCTTTGTATTTTCCATTCTGGGTTTTTTTTTTTTTTTAATCAGGACAAGTAGATCATGAGGGACAAGTAGGTTGGGACCTCGATTAAGTCCCTTGGACAACTAGTTTTTTAAAAACGTTATACACCCGTTTATACAGCCTGACTGCATTACAGTAACAGATTAAAGCAGGCCACATTCTCTCGCATGACAAAAAGGAAGATGGCTCATATGATTGTGCCATTATTTGTTTTTCTAAAAAAAAAATCCAGCCTGTTGGATCAGGCACTTTGTCGCAGCTGGCACACTGATAGTTTTTGACTCATCTATGAAATTTGATAACTAGCAGCGGCACTACAGTGGAAGCAATGGA